TCTTTCTTTTATAGAAAATATATAGAATATATGATAAAAGAGGTTTTATGCATGGTAACATATTCTATTTAGTATTGAATAATGGAGAATAATGATATGTCAATCAGTTTATATACTAATAATAATAAAAGAATAAAAATAATTGATATTCATAAATATTTAAAAGAACATAAATTATTATCAAAATTTGTTGGTGAAAATGAAATATTATTTGAATATGGTTCTATAGCACCTTCACCATCAAAAGATTATGGTCACATAGAAATTAATTTTAATGAAGTAAATATAATTAAATAAATATTTATTTGAATATATTTTTTTATTTATTTAATTATTTAACACAAAAGGTTATTATTCGATGGTGGAAAATAACTCTTAGAAATATCGAAGGTTCAATTTATCCATGTCAAATAAGAAATAATTATGAAGATTTTTCTAATGATGAAATAGCTCAACGGGAAATTTGTCGAATATTTGGTAAAGAAATTCTTGATTATTGTTTAAATATTATTTATGGTAATATAGATTGGTTTAAATATTTACCATTAAATATTAAAATAAAAATATTTTCATATGTTAATCTTGATGATATTCCACGTATATCTTCTGTATCAAAATTATTTCGTTCAATATCTCGTCATAATGATCTTTGGAAAATATTTTATATACGTCAACATGGTTATCAACTTTTTAAAAATAAATATTTTATACATTTAGCTAAAATATATGGTTGGCGTCGTCTTTTTTTTACTAATAAGTTAAAATTACAAATGGAATTACGTCGACAATCTCTATCCATATATCATCATCAACAACATTCATTAGACTTCGACAATCAAAAACAATTTCAAACAACGACATCAGATATAATAAGAGAAAAAGAAAAAAAAGAAAAAGAAGAAGAACAACAATAATCTTCATATTAATTTGATTAATTAACTAAAATAAAAAACAAATTCTGATAAATGTTTATAATAAACTAATAATCTAGAAGAATAAAATTCAATGAAATAATATATTAATTAAAACAATATTTATCATTATCATATGTTTATTTAAATAATCACATAGAAATTATCTCACTTTAACATAAACTAGCTTGTTGTTTTTATCCGTCAATAAAAATATTTGTTTTATCTTTAAATTGTCAATATAAAATGTATTTATCATATATATTTAATTAAATACATTCGACATTGAATATTTCAACAACAAAAAAAATTCTATTCATTTGTTTAACTTTTATGTATAATAAAGAAGTTTACTTGAAATATTTCTTTCAAAAGTTTAGATTTAAACAAATATTAAAATATTGTTATTGAAATAAATCATTTGTTTTTTGTGTACTCAAAAAGTGAGTACACTACTAAAATCGGTCTGTGTGTCCGGCCGTCCGTCCGTCCGTCCGTATACACGATAACTTTCGAAAGGAGAGTCAGATCGCGATGAAATTTTTTACACAGTTCAGTCTTTACAATATGTCGGTCGAGTTCGAAGATGAGAAGGATCCGTCAAGAAATGACTGAGTTA